GGTGTAACGATACACTGGGCCAATCAGAGGATACCATATCCGTGTCTCATGACCAATCAAATGACGACTTTCGGTAATTCTGACACTGTATGAGCTTGGCCTTAACTTGCTCTGCAGTAAACGCCTTCTTTCTGCCAACTCTGTCCTTGTTCCTACTTGCAACCGTGACTTCGCAAGAGCAAGGACCCGGCGAATGGTGGAAATGTGACCTCTCGAAGGATGGCCTCGCGCTCGTCGTCGGCGAGGTTGCGTCTTTTGATTGGCATTTCAAGAATGTTGGTAGTTGAGTGTGTATGTTATATATGAATATTTGTATACAAGATTTTGAACGCAGGTAATGGCGTCATCTCTTTAGATCCCCTGCTCATTGTTGCATCCACGGCGAGCTCTTGGTGCGCTTGTACTCAAGATCCAATCATAGCAGTGCATTTCGATTCGAGGCAGGTGACACCATGTTTTCAATTTTACTTCTGAATATAATGACGTGCCCCTCCTCAAACTCGCCCACTTATTTTGGAACAATGGGAGTATATTGTTGGCATCATCCCCCAAACTTAATAAGGTTTCGAGGTTTCGATCTCCGGAGAAGTCACTACTACACTAGTGTATTCCGCAAAGTGCTATGGAGATCTTATGTATTCACTTACTTATCCAATGCACATGTTCCTACGCCCGACCGTAATTATGCCACACATGTCAAACGCCATGTCAATCGTTTGGATTGGCAAAAATTTGGCATGACATGATTTGATTGGCTCAGGCAGTTCTTTAATCAATTCACCTAAGACATTCGATTCTCCCTAGGGCTCCAGTTTCGAATCGATTTGACATTATCTTCCATTGACAGAATGGATTTGCGTGCTTCAATATCGCGAATCCTGCGGCGCTACATTAACATGCTGCACCATAATGGTTATTCATCAAATTAACGATGTTTACCACAAACACTACACGAGCGAGTCTGGCCTTCCATAACCAAGTCGGTTGTATGTTCAACTAAGTGGGTGTACGTGGGCCATGTCGCTTTCATTATGGCACGCGCAAGCTTGACTTACTTCGGCAAGTACGGTTCAATGAAGGCACGAGCAGCGCTAGCGCGTTCATAGATACCTGGCAAGCCGCGCAGACCACAGCCAAAGCCCCAGCTGACCAGCCCCACCAAGCGCACGGTACCGTTTTCTTCGATGGTCAACGGTCCCCCCGAGTCGTGTTGGCACGCGTCTTCTCCTTCCACCCCTCCAGCACCCAACATCGTATCATTCACTAGATAGGGGAGCAAAGCAGCCGAGGCCCTGGTGTTGTCCCAGGTCGTGACGTTGAGCTCCTTGAGTACTTGCGATTTGGGGCCACCTCTCTTGACGTGTCCCCAGCCGCGTACCCAAGTGTCCACCCCCGCCGGAACGAATTCAAACGACACCGGCACAGGTTGGATGGTCGTGATGTTGCGGTCCAAGATTACGATGCCCACGTCGGTGCCATTGGGGTGTTTGATTTCCTGGGTGACATTGGCCAGTTCTCCGTCGGCAAAACCGGTTAAATAGTGCGTGCCCACGACCACAGAAGTTAGACCTATGTTCAAACAATGCGCCGCTGTCAAAACGACATTGGGGGCGATCAGACTGCCGCCGCACTCGGTCACATTATTGGGCGACTTCTTGAGCCCGGCCACATAACGGTGCTGGCCGAATTGGGCTTCCTGGCCGCCGAGGATTTCGAAACCGTCTTCAGGGGCCTCATTGCCCCAAGCGACCTTAGGTGGGACAATTTGGTCTTGAGCCCAGGCAGCGACGGCCACGGTCAAAGCGAGAAGGAGTGCGAACTTCATGGTGGAAATTGGAAAATGAATGGTATTTCATCTAGAGCCAAGTCAATCCTATCGTTAACGTCAGATTGGGATTGCACTACCAAGGTTTACCAAATGGATGGTTGGGATGCGTACAGCATACATACATGCACTCACGCACCTCTTGTCATTAAGTCAACTTTGGCGTCGTAAATATCCAACAGCGTGGCCGACATTCTTGCCAGAAAAACCCGCTAACAGTTACTATGTCGCACTTTCAAAGGATGAAGGATCTTAACACTTGCAATACCATAGGAATGATATACTGATATACTGCATGACATATGATCGTACTATCCGCATACGCTTACAGTGGTA